AAGCAATTAAATTGCACTGGTAGCACCTTATTCCATCCATTCTATACATTTTTTCTAACTGAGATGTCCTTCAATAAGTGCACCTGGTCAAGGTTGTCTGTCTTCTGTCCCTATGTTTGCTGTTATAATATAGTAACATTTGTTTAAAAAAAAAAAAAAAAACTGTAATGAGGCCATTAAACTGTCAGGTATACCTTGCTTCATGCAATATACATGGTCCTAAAAATTGTGCAAAAGTAACATTTTTGGTAAATTATTTTGTATTTTATATTGTGGAAAACAAAAACTAACAATAAATTCTTTTAGATGCATAAATTGAGATTCCTCATGCAAAGTTTGCTTCAACTGAAGTATACCTATAAGAATGTTTTAAATTAAATAAACACTGAACACACATATATTTGTTTTTGAGTTCACTCAACAAATACTTATTGAGTGCCTGTTGTATGCCAAGCACTGCTCTAAGAAGCTGGGAACTCAGCAGCAAAAAAGATAGAGTCCCTTCTTGTGTAGAGATTACAATCCCCTGGGACAATCAGACTAAACAAGTAAATAATTGCATAATATAACCTCAAGTAGTGAAAATGCTCTGAAGGAAAATAATATAGGAAAGAAAAATAGAGAATAGAGGAATAGAGAATGCTTGGAGAGAGGGTATTTTAGACATTATGTTAATTTTCTATTATTGCATAATAAATCACCACAAACTTAGTGGCTTAAAGCAACACACATATATTATCTCACATTATCTATGACCAGGAATCAAGGTCTACAGTTCCCTGGGTTCTCTGCTTAAGTCTTGCAAGGTTGTGGTCAAAGAGTCAGCCAGGCTAGGTCAGATCAGGGCTTCAGGTCCTCTTCCCAATTCTCATGTGTTGGCAGAATTAGTTCCTGCAGCTGTAGAACTCATGGAGGCAGAGGAACAATGTCTGTACCTCCTCTTCATGTTCTAAGGGCTACTCTGATTAGGCCAGGCCCACCCTGGGTAACCTCCACTCAGTCAATGAGTAGTATCCTAATCATGGGAATTAGATCCCACTGAATGACAGGTTCCACCTGCAATGGGACAGTACACCAGGGAGTGGAGATCATGGGGGCCACCTTAGAATTTTCTCTACAAGAGACAGGATGGTCAGGGAAGGACTTTCCATGTTAGTTACCTCTGTTTTGTTTTTTAATTTTTTTTTCTTTTGAATCTTATCTTTATTGTTGAATGTATTACAGATGCCACCCCCATTTCCCCCCCATTGATTCCTTACTCCCCCCGTTCTGCCTTCCCCACAGTATTGTCTAGGTCCATTGGTTATGCATATAAGTTAATGTTAGTTACTTTTGATCAAAGCCCTGAAAAAAATCAGAGACCGAGCTCTGTAAAGGTGACAAATAGAAAATATAAAAATAGCCCTGGCCGGTTTGGCTCAGCAGTTAGAGCGTCCGCCTGCGGTCCGGAGAGACCCGGGTTCGGTTCCCGCTAAGGGCACGTACCTCGGTTGCAGTTTGTCCCCGGCCCTGGTTGGTCGTGCGGGTGGCAGCCACTCGATGTGTCCCTTCACGTCGATGTTTCTCTCTCTCTCTCTCTCTTCCTATCTCTCCCTCCCACTCTATCTGTACAAAAAATGGAAAAACCTCCTTAGGTGAGGATAAAAAAAAATAAAAAAATAAAAAAAAAGAAAATATAAAAATACATGTGGGACTGGCTTTCTTGACTCACATTATATTTCTGTTGGCCAGTACTATGACAGACACTGAACAAATGCCTTATACCAAAGCTGAAAATAAGCACTAAGTGCTTTCCTATTTTACCAGTGAGGACACTGAGGTTCCAACAGGTCGACTAACACCCTCAAGTTCACGCGGTCAAATGTGGGAAGACCAGGATGTGAGCCGAGGTGAGGAACCAAGCTGCACAGCAGGGCACAGGAATACCACCTGCACTGTCACTCAGGGGACACACCCAGGAGCACTCAGGGCGGGCTTAATGCTCCACTGTCACTATTTTGAGGTCCTTAATTATATTTCAGAACTCGGGTTTGTAAGTGAAGTCCGAGGAGACACTGGCGCATGAACATGAGCGGAGGGCATGCCAGCAATGTGAATACCTGCCACTGGACCCATGATGGCGAGCGTTCAGTGAGACTCAACATGAGCACAAGGTAAGCATGTCATGTCCATGACTACGTAAACGGGAGCGCGGACGGCCCGGAGAGGCTACACCCTTTCCATTTGAACCAGATGCCTTTTGGGGATCCTGAAAACAGCTGCACCCATGTGGTCCATCGCAGGGGTAGTGATCGGGACGGGAGTGAGGGAGCACTGAGGAGGGTCCCTAGGAATCTGAAAACATCTGAGAATCCTAAACTAATGACTTATCTCCAGTGAGCCTCCTAAACAGCAGCACGTTATTCTAGTAGAGCTTCTGAAAAACGCTCCTCCTTGGAGACAATAGAACCAAGTATAGTCTGAAATCTGGGACCAGACTTCTGTGTGTTGATGGACCTCAACTGGAAAGATGTCATGGGGTTGTCTGGGATCTCACTCTGCTAACTACCACCTCAGCCACCCCCATGGCTGCCTGAAGTGTCCTGGGGAGAGCTTTATTCCAGAACTTAGGGGTAGATATACGTAAAATACGTGAGATGTATTCTGGGGAGAGATGGTATTTTAAACACTTATTGTTCATTTATAACTTATTGATAAAAACTGAAAGTTAAATTTGCTATTTAACATTCACAAAACTAAGAAAGTCTAAAGGAACTTTAAGTTCTGTACCCAGGTTTGTGTAAGTTGGATTTGAGGACATATGTGGTTTTCAGTGTAAATGTCTGGGCACAAGCATAATTTCCAGTCAGGATCTCAGACTTGCAAGGTAGTTGACATGTTGACACAGAATTCAAGGTCTCCAAACATTAAAGGGGGACCCAGGAAATACCTGGGTTACAGATGAAACAGAGCATTTATTAAGGTAAATATATAACATGTTAAAAGGCAGTTTGGAAAATAGAACAGCAGAGTAAGGCAGAAGGACCTAGAGGCCCAAGAGGTGTGTGTGGGGGGGGGAGGGAATGTGCTGGGTGGGTGGGGGGAGAGGTTGTGGACACACCCTTTGAAGGTATACCCTCCCCCTCCCCCAGAAACCCTGTGTGACTCCACAATGCTCTGTGATGCAGGCCTGGCAATAAAGTCAAGGCTCCGCACTCTCAGAGCTCAGTTGCTTTAGCAGCTTTGCATTCTGAAAATGGTACCCAGCCTATTTCTGAATAAACTACGAGAGCATTATCTGAGCTACTGCTCAGAATCTTTAGACTGTAACCACAAACTAATTTACATCTCTGTGTTGTGGTTACTACTTCTCTTATTTATTTTCTTCGTGGAAATTCCATCCATCCCAACCTTCTTGGAAAATGATCACATACAAAAGGTAAGGAACCCTGGGTGAGCCCCAACAGAGTTTTTATTTTTGTTTCCATTTCTATTCCCACATTTTTAAATGAATCTGGTTGAGTCAGAGAGACATTGAAGATGAGACATCTGAGGAGAGAACAGAACATCACTCTTCTAGAGGAAGAGACCAGACAGGTCTAGGGGTACAGGGAGGACTCGGGTTCCCATAGGAAGCTCACAGACCATCTGGGTGTGGTGGCAGGTTTCTGGCTACAAACACAGTGGTTCTCTGGTTCTGGGTCAAGTTATTCAGAGACTTGGGGATCTCTGTAGGACGTCAGAGTTAACCAGCACTTCGTCATGAGTCATACTCCCGTCAGGCATCACTGGACCAACCCTTTGTGTTCGGCTGGTCAGGAGAGCAGTGCTGAGCCGCTGAGAGCCTCTGAGCAGAGGCTGCAGCTTGAGCACCGTCCCAGGCTACAGGGTCCTCTCTGAGGAAACAGACGTGACTGCAGACCTCGGATTATGTGCCTCAGTGAGCAGAGGACCTCTGAGAACACCAAGTGTGGACCTCGTAGACAAAATCCTTCCTTGAGTTTTTCAAGAAGGAAAAATTAAAAACATTTAAAATGAACACAAGGAAAAAAACAGAAACAAAGTTCTATTAATTAAAATGAGTTTGATTGGTCTAGAGGGACATTATTCTTGGATAATAAATATCTGAGTTTCCTAGGGAGAGGAGTGAGAAATGAGTCCCAACCCCTCACTCTTTCCTTTGTGTTCTCAGCGTCAGGGCAGAGACAAGAGGAGAAGGAAAGGTGGGACACCGAAAGGTAAGGTTCTGCCTATTCCACCCGAGCTCCCCACGGGGACCCTTTCTCTCTCCTTCCATGAGGCACCAGGTCCATGATCTCTGTGTCACTTGGTAGATACAACCACTCAGGAAACAGAGCCCTCAGAGGAGAGGCTCATGGAAAGACAGAACCTGAGATACTTCTCAGATTCCCTGCTCTGCTGTACATGGGTCTGAAACAGTGATGGACATGAGCAGTGGGTATTGCCCAAGAGGTGTTGAGAGGAGACTTCTGTCTCCTGATTTTGAGAGGGAACTTTGACTTCAGGATCATCAGATTCCTCTTTGCTGTATCCATTAACCTTTTTGATTCTCAGAGTGGCTTTGAACATCCAATGAGATCATGTGTATAAAATTGCATTATAAGTGAAGTAACAAACACATAGGGACTTTATTAATATTATCATTGACCATCTGACTTTCTCTATTAATTCTTGGGACTTTGAGAGTCTCATATCCCAATGGTCTGTCATGTATAGACTCTTGTTTAATGCCTATGCAACTACATTTATTGCATTTAACCCACTCTCCAGGTCTCCCAGGTTCGAGATATAACCACAGGGAAGAGGAGGAGAACATTAGCCTGATTTCTATCCTGAGAAGGTGACTAGTCTTTCCCCCTTTTTCCTGATCTCTCTGTAGCATGTTCTATGCAATTCCAGGGATTCAGTAGAGCCTTCCATAGTCATGGGATGGGTTGCCATAGAAACAGGAATGTGAGTGAATGCCTTGGGGTGAGTGCAATTCAGTGCACTGTGAAGTCATGGGTGTGGAACAATGGGAAGGGGCAGCAGGCTTCAGGTGGCCCCACCCCTACCAGGCCAGTAGGTCCTCCCCTCCTTGTTCTGGTCCTGGCTGCAGCTTTGTGCCTCCTGTCTCCTGCAGCCCCCTGGGCCAGCATCATGATACCAACCGCATTCGTCAGCTTTTATGTCCAGACCCCTCCTGTGAGGTGTGTAATAATGCAACCGCTGAAATCAAGGAGCTGCTGTACTCAGAGGCCCTGGAAGATTCTACTCCCTCTCTGTCCCCTTTGGCTTCCACCGCTCCTGTCACTGAGGCCTTGTTCACTCAGTCCTCTGCCATCTCAGCAGTCCCTCCAGGAGACAAAATACCACCTCCTCTGCCTGAGCCTTTCTCATCACCGGGTCAAACCCTGTCTCCAGAGCCTTTCACTCCCTCAGAATCAGAATTCCCAGGGCACAATTCTCCACCCAAACCCAAAGACTTGTTCTCTTCAACCTTGACACCATGTGATTTCTATCAAGAGTTTTCTGCCCTCAATTTCCCAAAGACCTCTTTTGGGGGAGACTCTGCAGCCAAACTTATAGATCCTAGACACCTCTTATTTCTCAGCTCTGATAAGCATGACTCAGTACAGCAGTACTCGTATCCTAAGACCTGGGAGGACCTTTTAAAGAAAAAAATTATCCAGCTTTGCTGGGGTCTTCCGTCTTTGCACAGTGAGTCCTTGCCCTGTGCTGTCCATGTCTCAGGTGACTATTCCTCAGTCTTTATTTTCAATAGCATCTCGAATGACTCCACAGGCCAAGAATACCAAGCACTTCCTTATTTCCTACCTGCATCCTTGCCTGAGGACCAACCTCAACCCTTGCCTCCAACCCTGCCCCAATCCCAGCCACTACCTCTCACTCAGATCCAACCCCAAGCCCACCTTCAATCCCCACCCCTGATCCTACCACCCAGTCCCACAAACCAGATTAGAGTCTGTGGAGTACGTTTCCATGGGCCCCAGAATGAATTACATTTTCTCACCTCATCTGAAATTCAAGACCTGGAATGGAATGTGTTGAAGAAGAAACAGGAAAGTTTGTGGGGCTTACCCTCTGTGGTGCGAAGTTCACAGGAAGCCGCCTATCCTTCAGCTCCCACCATTCCTTACTGCTGGCGCCCCAGGGCTCCTGCTTCAGTCTCCATCACTTTTGAAGAATTTCCTCTCAGCAGTGAACTTCGAAAGAAGTTTGAGCATCACCTTAGAAAGAGGCTCATCCAACACCGGTGGGGGCTGCCCCGCAGGGTCCATGAGTCCCTGTCACTGATGAAGCCTCTGAGAAATCGCAAAGACATATCTGAGTCAAAGAGCACGTATGGCCTCTCATGGATCTCTATGTACAAGGGCCAGTGTAGCAAAAATATAAATATTAGATTGAGCCAATCAGGAAGCTTCTGTGAGAAGGGCTCAAAAATATTTCAGCTGGAGGAGGAGGAGGAGACAGATGAGACAGATGAAGGAGAGAGCCAAGAAGATGATCCAAAAGATCATCTGCTGAGCGACTCTGAGAGTTCTTCAGATACGGATGTGACAAATGACACTGAGAAAGACCTAGATAGTTACATGATGAGACTGCCAGGAGGCAACTCAATGTTAGGGGATGATATAAGTCCGAAGCTACTGCAAAAGGTCCTGAAAACACATCTGAGCAAGAAGTTACAGGAAATTAATATGGGCAAGCTCCCTGGGACTGTGCATAGTTCATGGCACAGCATTGTGCAGACTTCACCTGGAACACCCCACACCAATGTAGCATCGAGCAGTGCGCCAGCCCCAGTGGGTGGGGACTACTGCCTGAGTACATGCCAGGAGCTTTCCTTCCTTGAGTCTAGTACACAGCAGTTGCTGGAAGCCCACATTACCAGCTTTGGTATGTGTATGTTGTTGGGCCTTCCTGCCAAAGTCCTTGAGTCCATAGAAATCTTTAAAAAAGATACTTCATCCCATTCCTTGTTCAGTCCAAAATCTGGGGGATCCACGCCCCTGAGAGGAAGCTCTGAATCCCCTCATGGGACTGAAATGAAAACAGAAAATTCAGCTTCTGTCCTGAAGCTCCCCCTCCCTGCCATGGGCAGCGATGGACAGGGGGCTCTGAGACAATCACCCTCAGATATTAAACACGAAATTGCAAAGGAAGTTCAGAGAGATTGGAATGCTGAACAGCCTCTTCTGCCAGTCACAGACAGCATCATTGACAACACAATTCAGAGTTATGCTCTGATACCCGATGTTCAACCCCCAAAGCTGCCCGCAAGGCAAGCAGGGACCAGGCATGAGCCAAAGGATAATAGTGTGAATGCCAGTAACAGAGCAGAAATACTACAGGGCACAAATGGGGAGAAGTCAGAACCTGCTTCCATGCCCACTGTGTCCAGAGAGATAGTTAGGGCCAATGAACTCAGTTCTCTTCAATCCACAACTGGTGATATCTTAACAACCAGCAAGCCAGGAATTTCTCAAAAGATAAATGTGAATGAGATTAAAGGAGAGACTACGGTGACCACTGAAGGGTCCCCAGCAAATCTATTAGTTCTCCAAGATCCCAAATTATGCTACGTACAGAAGCAACTCACTGATGAGTTAAAGTCTAATTTGGAGCAGGGTTACCACTGCCGGACCCAAAGCCAACCCACTGACATGAGCCATGACTCAGATAGTTTTATTTGCAAAGCCTCCCTGACTCATGCTCATAATGTCTCTGGTGGGGACACAGGAGATGTCCAGGTGCTGCATGTCCATTTGGAAGAAGGAGAAGTCAGTATGGAGCAGCAGCAGGAACCTTGGGTTCCTAAGCAGGTCTTAAGGATGTGTGAGGATAAGAATTCACCACCAGATACAAAGAAAGTGAGACCTGCAGGCTCCCGATCAGAAGAGCTTGGTGGAGGAGATGCAGGGTTGAGGACTTCCCAAGCTAGAGGGAAGAGATTTCCTCCTCAGGACAAAGCATTAGAAGAGATGCTTGATGGGAAGCCTCCCCAGACCCTATCACAGATGGGACAGTCTCCCGATAACCTTTTTGTAAATAAAATGAAGACCTTTTTTCAGTGGCTTCATCCCAAAAGAAAATTCACAGAGCAAGAACACTCCCAGAACAAGGGCAGGCCCATATCATCTGCACAGAGCAGAGGCCCAGTCAAAAGTAGAACCCCCTTTCCTGGGAGGATGGAAGTTCAGAGAGTCAGGTCTGACATTGGGAAGTTCCCAGAAGAGAAACAGAGGCGTCGGCATGCAGTCGATACCACCTGCTTTCAAGAGCCCCTTCCCTTGGCAGTGGAGTTCGGGAAAGCTCAGCAGAAGGCAGCAGTGGGGGCCCGGGCAGAGCCTGTCCAGGGGCATCCTTTCAACTCCAGGACTCCCTCCTATAAAGTGACGAATATGAAATCTGGCCTCCAAGCACCCGTCTTTGCTGGCCAGAGTTCCACAAGTAGCAGACATATCGGAAACGAAGGTGGACACCCCCAGAAAGTTGTGGCATTAAAGCACCAGCAAGTATGTCAAAAGCACCCCCAGTCTGTGCCCCGCAGGGGGACTGTGCCCCGTCCGAGCCCCACCTACAGGCCTCAAGCTGCCCAGGGACCTCCTGCTGCTCTCACCACTGCTGAAGGCACTGAGTTCAGAGATCAGTCTCTACGACTTAGACCAAAAACCCTTTCTCAAAATTTCCAGGGGAAAAAATTTTCCCAGCCCCAAATAATTCCTTCCATGTGAAGAATACTGACTTGACTAATAAATGTTTATCTAATAATAGTGATGCTTTTCCTGTGTTTGTGTTGGGACATGGGTTTGGGGTATCTTAAGTCTTGAGCTTAAGAAAAGGAAGGAGTTAGCTCAGCTGCTATTTCCTTTGGCTTCCAAAAACAACCAGTCCCCTGGAGCTCTTGTTGAGAAACAATCACGTGTCCTCCCCTGAAGCCCACTTCCTCCCGATGAAGTTTGTGGACATGGACTCACACTGCCTCCTACCTCCTAGCTTAGCCTTAGTGAACAGGGACAGCAGCCCACGACTTCCCCCTCAGGGAATGGTTAATATCCTTTAGGGCAGGGGGGAAGGCAGGTCTTCTACAGCTAAAGAAGATCAAGGACATGTATGTTTCTCAGAAAATATCAGAGAAGAAAAGACGGGGGCTTAATCATTCTTTATGCGAGGATCCCACAGGTGGGTGAACCCTGAATGGGGGTGTTTGGGGGGATACTACCAAAGTGGGTCCTGGGCTGGTTGTGGTAGGTCTAGAAATAGCTTAAAAACTTCTCAAAAATATTTCTGTGGGTCACATTGATGGGTTCGGGAAGCACATACTTTAACTTTGACACTGAAGTTTGCCTACTGGAAAGTCACCTTGGGAACTGGTTCCCATCTCCAGTTATTTCTTCAAGCTGAGCAAAAGCATCACTCAGCTCTCAGTGGTAGGAATGAATGTTAACCAGGCAGGCACCTACCTCCCAGGTAGAATAAAGCTGAAAAGAAAAAGATGCCTTAGAGTGAGTGAGAAAGGAAGAGCCAATAAAGGGAAAGAGTGACTTTGCGGGTGGAACAATGGTTGATGGCTCGTCAGCCCCACACTGGGACACTGCCTTGCTCCCAGCTTCCTCACACTGACCTAAGCTCCACCTGCCGGGGCTGATCAGAGCACAGCACAGCACACTGAGGTGTTACACCAGAGAGGCACGGCTGTTCCTCGAGTACTCGATCAGTATTGGCAGGGACATCGTCAGGCATGGCATCCCTGTCTATGGGAAAGGTGACCTTGGTGTCTTCCTACCGTCCATGCTGGGTGGAAATATATACGATCTTGCCCTTGGTGTGCACAGTTCCCCTATCAGGGTGGAGATGTCACCTTGGATATTCATGGCCTTCGTGGAGCTATAACAGATCTCCCCAGAACACCTGCGGCTCATGAGCCAGAGGTGAGTTCTTGACTGTGAACAAGGGTAACAGATATTTGAGGGCTCATCATGGACCATCATGGAATGCTGTTTTTTGGGGGGTTTTTTTGGCCAAAGCTGCACACATACCCACCCTTACTGACCTAAGGTCAGCGGTCGGGAGGGAAGGCAAGTCCACTTGCACAGACTGAATCACAAATGGAGTGAGTGTCCTAGTGGGAACTTCAGGGAGCTTTTCTAGTGAGCCCTGTGAATCCTGGGTGTACAGAGAAACACAAAACAAGAACCGCAGATGTGCACCACAGCCCTCTCTCACCACCACACATGTATCTTCTTGTCCAGAGTTATGCATTTGCCCTACCATGTCTGAAGCTTGGGATCACAGAGAAGGTGCAGATTAGGTGAAAGTCCTAGTAGGGACAGAAAGGTGGCATGGGCCCCAGGCAGGGAACTTGAAGAGGGGAGCAGGCAGTGGAGGGCTCTAATGTCCTGTGGACAAGCAGCCAGTAACCCAGCCCCCAGTTCCTACATCGTCTCATCTAGGGCCCTTTACTTCCCTGCAGTGCAGGTACTGCCACACCGTAGAGCTATCACCAGGCACATCTGTGCCTTCGGGAGTCCAGTCTGACATACAAACATTTGGCTTCACCCCCTACCCTTTCAGCATAGATGCTCATTGTTAATTTTCAACTCCAGGTCATTTTTCCACTCACTCTCTGTCAATCCACAAATCTCCTGTCTTCCTCCCTTACCCCGGTGGACTTGATAGTCTATCAGGTAACATTCAAAAAGGTGCAATACAATGGGCCCCTCCTAGTCCCCTTTAATCCTTCCTGTCTGGCAAAATATCAACTCAATGTTTTTCCAGGGATGTCTTCCTACAAGTAACTGATCACTGTTGGATTAAATCTCACAGTAAATTCTACTGGTGCCCCGGAACTACCTGGAAATCATTCATTCATTCCACAAATACAGATGTCACGCTTACGAATGTGAACAAAACAAATAGAGCTTAGGTCCCTGTTTCCTCAGTCTGTTCTCTCCCCAGAGCTACTCAAAAGTATTTCAAGTCTCACTTCCCCAGACTGAGGCCACCTCCACTCCTCCACAGATGTGCTGGACCACAGTTCACAGAGGAGCTAGAGGCCATGCGATGGGAACTTTTCTACAAAACACTTAAAAAAAAACAAAAACAAAAACACTTTAACATTCTTCCTTTCCTTTTTCCTCCCTGTTATACGGAAAGAGGTTTCCTTCCCAACCTCAAAGGACTGACACTCCCTGGAGCCACCTTCCTCTTGGTGGCCTGGTGCACCCCTGCCAGGTCCCTTTTGCCCCCTTCCTCTCCTTGTGAGGTACCCAACATCTTTTATTTTGTAAAGCTTAACACAGAAATGTCTAAACATGCATAAGAGCAGACAGAACAATACATCTTCCCTTGTGCCCTCAGCCAACTCCCACAATTATCACCTGGCCTGCGTAATACACCCCATTTTCACAGCACAGTGAAAAGGCCCTTTGAACACCTGGTCGTCCGTCTCTCGGACACATGCTCTGTGCGCATGTCCGCGCGCTCACTGCTCTTGATGGTCTCCACGCGTGGACCACCCTGATTCTGCGCAGACGTGCCGGCGTCCAGCTCTGAGGCTTCAGCATCAGGTCTGCTCGCCTGTCAGTCAACCCTGAGGGGTCAGGTGAGTGAACGCTTCTCTCAACTGCATACGAGACGTAATCTCACAGAGCAAACCCGGTGCACAGCACTGCTGTTCCTCAGTCACACAGAAACTATGCTAAATGCTAAATGTATACAAGTAGAAACTACAGAATCGGCATCGCTATATGTTTTCAATTATTTGGAAGAAAATTTTCCTGTCACGCATGAACATGACTTAAACATAGTAGATCAGACACACTTGTTTATCTTTTTCTTCCCTAAATGCCATTAAAAGTAAAAAGATGCTCAATACCATTAGCCATTAGAAAAAAATGTAAATCAAAACAATATGATCTGGCAACAGACACAAAAAGTGGCTATTATAAAAAAATTCAGATAAGTTTCACTGAGAATGTGGAGAGTGGAACCCTCAAACGCTGCTGGTGGGAATGAGAAATGGGGCAGCCACTTTGAGAAATAGTCTGGCCCTTCCGCAAAATGGCCGTTACTATATGATCCAACAATTCCACCTCTAACTATACACTCACGAGAAATGAAAATTGTAAACAAATGTTCAGAGCAGTGATATCCAGTACTCCTAAGAGTCAAAGGTGGAAACAATCTAAATGCCCATCAACTGATGAATGCTAAATAAAACACGGTAGCCCTGGCCGGTTTGGCTCAGCGGTTAGAGCATCAGCCTGCGGTCCGGAGAGACCCGGGTTCGGTTCCCGCTAAGGGCACGTGCTTCGGTTGCAGTTTGTCCCCGGCCCTGGTTGGTCGTGCGGGTGGCAGCCACTCGATGTGTCCCTTTCACATCGATGTTTCTCTCTCTGTCTCTTCCTCTCTCTCCCTCCCACTCTATCTGTACAAAAAATGGAAAAATGTCCTCGGGTGAGGATAAAAAAAAAACAAAACAAAACACGGTATATCCATGCAATGTAATATGGTTTGGCAATAAAAAATATTATTACATGTTACAACACAGATGAACCTTGACAGCACAATGCTAAGTGAATAAAACCAGTCACAAATGATCACATGATTCCATCCATATGAAATGTCCAGAACAGAGGAGACTAGAGAAACAGAGAATCCATTAGTGGTGGCTCAGGACGGGGGGGTGGGGAAGGGGAGGAGAGGGATGATAATTAAAGGATATACGATTTCTTTCTGAAGTCATGAAAATATTTTAAAATGGAATGTGGAGATGTACCTATCTGTGAATATAGTAAAATCATGAAATTATACACTTTAAGTGGGTGAATTGTATGGTGTGTGAACTCTATTGAAAGTAAAACAAGGATTAAAAGGGAATAAGTTCTTGAGAAGGACAAATGGGGAGAGGACAAGACAAGGTGTCCCCACGTCTCTGGAAGCTGGGCATCCAGGGGCGGAGGCTCCGTCAGCAGCAGAGCGGAGGAAGTGCTGGCAAACCCAGTCACCACCACCCCGAGACCAACCCTCTGGGGGCCCTGACAGGGAACGAGGGGTTCCATGCGGTAAACACCTTGAGTTTTATTATTTTGTGTCATTTAAGAAAACATTTTATTCTTTGGGGGGAGGCATGCCGATCTCCAGTAATTTGTAAAATCCTTCAGAAAAGCTGGCGAGCTTCACGTGTGCAGTGGACGCCAGGTTTCTTGCCTGGGGCAGCAGCAGACAACTGCCTTACAGCTGGCACTGCGCACCTCTGGGGTCTGGGTGGGTGGTGGTAGCTGTGGAAGTCAAGCCAGAAATCTCAGAGGGCAGGTGACATTCAGGAAAACAATCAATGGTCCCTTTTTATAATGCTTTCATTTGAAAATAATCAAACGTGAAAAACTTGCATGCATAATAAAACCAGAAACCCTTTGTCCGATTTATCTACTAACATTTTGACACAGTTGTGAATTCCCTTCTCCCTGTCTCTGTTTGTCTCTGTTTCTGTCTCCTTCCCTCCCTCCCCTTCCTCCCTATATATGAACACACACAGATGAAAAACATGCGTGCATTCCTACGTACTTGAGTTCATGCATCACGCACTTTCTCCTTCAATATTCCATTGTATATTTCTTAAGAAAAAGATTCTCTTTCATTCAGTGCAGTTAGTCCCTTCAATAGCATAACATTTGGCATCAAACTTTTCACTAATCTCCCCTTCATATTCTATTTGTGTCAATCTATCGTG